AAAATTTTGAAGAAATTTGATTTTGTTAAAAAAAATTTTTGAGAAAATTTGGTACAGAGGATCTACAGATTAAGTGCACTTTTTTTTTTTTTAAAAGGTAATTTATAAATTTTTATTAATATATAGAGTATAAAAAATTAATATATTATCAATATACTGGTATATATATTTTAGAGCAAGATTAGAAGATAGTAAAACTTTTCATACTATTGAAACTCATAATAAAAGTAGTATCGCATTACATGGATCTAATCATGGAATTATATCAAGAACAAAAAATCTATTAAAAAAACTAGTAAGTTTTTATAATTATATTACAATAAAATTAAATTTATTTATTATTAAAATATATTTAAATTATAAAAGCTCAAAAAGTATCTAAAAAAAAACCATCTGATGAAAAATCTAATTCAAAACCTAAAGTATCAGCAAAAAAATCTTGAACAGCATCTAAAAATCAAGATTCTTCATCAAATATAGATGATGATGATTTGGATAAAATAGAACGTCAAATTGCATTACAAGAAAGAGAAATGACTTTAAAAGAACATGAAGCAGAACTTAAGCTTAAACAAATCTTAATTAAAGAAAAACAAATTAAATTAAATATTATAGATAAATAAATAATTATAGTATTATTTGCTTTTAAACCTTATTTTTTTATATATTGTAAAAATTTTATAATTAATTAAATTACTAGTGATTAATAAAATAAAATTTCTGCTATTCTATATATATTTTCTTTATTAATTTATAAATTAACAATTAATTAAATTACCAGTAATTAATAAAATATAAGTTCTGTTATTCTATATATAAAACTTTTATATTTTCTTTATTATTTTATATTTATTATACGTATTTTTCAGATTTACTATCCTTACCAACTTTATATTTATTACTTTTATATTTACTACCTTACATTTATAATCTTTACATTTATATTTATTTACTTATACATTTATCACCTTTATGTTCATCACTTCATGCTTACTATTTACATAGTTATTATGTTCATAACTTATACTTCACTACCTTCTTGTACACAACCTTCATATTTACTATCTTCATATTTACTACCTTTATATTTACTACCTTCATATTTACCACCTTTATATTCATTACTTTATGATTTACCACCTTTATATTCATTACTTTATGTTCACTACTTTCATATTTATTATCTTTACCATCTTCACATTACTATCTTTACATTACTATCTTCATACCTGCTATCTTTACATTTATCACTTTCATGTTCATAACTTTTATACTCATCGCCTTCACATTTATGTTTATCACCTTTACATTCACTATTTCTGTTCATTGATTTCAAAATAATTAGAATAGTAAAAATATTAAAGAAGCTTAAGATCTAAATCATTGTGCACTAGGTAATTAAATTCAATCCGAAGGTATCACTTAAAAGTCATCCAAAAATAAGTATTAGCAAAAAAAAAAAAGGTCAATAAAAGAAAAATAGTAACAAAAAAAAAAAAAGAAAGCTGAAAGGAACAACTTACTCACAATATATCTGACTAAAAGTATCGCTCAAGAATCATAGCAAATAAATATCATGAAGTGAGATAAAAGATTATTGGAAAGTACAACTAGAAAAAAATAAAACAGAAAAAACAAGCCCAAAAATGGTCTAGCGTTCTATTCTGGGCTTTTGCTTTATTACTAAAAATTTGTTTAATCACTAAAAATTTGTTTTACTGTTCAACGAAAAAGCCAAGATTGTATTATGTGTAACAAAAGATAATTATGCAGTCACGTTATCACCCTTGTACATATTAATAGATCCCCCGGCATTATGAATATAATATACTTATAAGTATAAAAAATTTTTTTAGAGTATTGTACTCATAAGTACAAATAGGTATACTCTATAGTATAAACGTATACTATACTCAACAAATCAGTAGTACGCATACTTAACACCACATCTCCCGATTGATAAGCGATTTTTTTTTATACTGTACGGATAAATTGATAGTAGATATGTAAACTCGAATTGCTTTATTTTTATAAATACACATTAGGGATGAAAAAAAAAGTTTTTTATTGTTTTTAAAACAACAGATTTAATATCTGATATATATTCAGATTATACGTAATCATCCATTATTTTTAAATCATTTACTATTTCTGCTACAGTAGGGATGTAAAAAAACGGTTTATGATAAACAGTTTTTAAAACTTAGTCTGAAACTGAAAACATCGCTTATGATTTGTTAATTTCAGTATCAGCCATGTTCACAACCTTCTTATTACATAAAAAACATTCTTTTTAAATTTTTAATATTTTATTACAAATAAATTGCATGTTAAAGTTTACAAGAAATACACCAATTTATTTTAAATTAATTAAATGTATGTCCTGCCTATCTGTTAAATGAAATTAGTTATTATGATCTTTCAACCGACCAATTAAATCAACGAAGTTTTGGATACACTTTTGACGTAATTCAACCACATTTGTCAGTTCGGTAACTTAAATAAAGTTCAAACGAATTGCTTTTATAGGAAGCCTTCAGCGAAACATAATTATTTAAGAAATAATTTTTAATATTAATATTAATAATCATATAAATCACAATTATTACGTGAAAATGTATTGGAACATTTTTAAATCATACAATCAAGATTTTAAGATCGTGTCTTATAATCATTTGCCAACCTTACTGTTACATATATTTCTAATTTAAATATGTTTATAATCACAGATGATTTATGAATTCAAAATTATTAATTTTAAATATTGCGTTTAAGAAAATCTTTAAATTGGCTTGTACATTAATTATTTTTATTACCAAAATTATAACATTCATAAACTATTTTATTATTTCATTCTAAAACTTTCCCTGACGTAAATTATCATTCATCCCTCTCAATAATTTCTTTTTATATAATAACATTCGTCTCTCAACTCTTTTTTCATATTTACCACCTATACCATACCAACTTTGTAAATCCTTTAATGTTTCAACACTTGTAACCCCACCAACTATTACAGAATCAGCAAATGTCCATCCTCCTAGGTAACCATCACTGAATTGTCGTTCTGGATGAGCGACATTTGCCCAATTAGTTTCATCATCTGGTCGTAAGTATAAAAATTCGTGCCCCGTTCCATTAGTAAAATCTTCACAACCGATAAAAGTAGGTGCATTATTACGTAAACATCTTTCCATTGCTATATCTTCGGTAATTGATTTATCTTCAAGACAAAAAGGTAAATGTGGTCCAACAATAGATAAAAGATCTTTACTCAATATGTAACCTGGGCCTTTCCAACAAAATTTTACATTAGTCTCAAAATCTGTATCAGGGCGACCTATCAACCGAGGTTTACGTGTTGTTCTTGAAAGTAACTCTAGGAGGCGTGGTAAATTAACAAATGTTTGATCGGTAATTTTTAAAACATAGTTATAATGATCAAGATGATATGAATAAAGAAAATGGAGTGCCTATTCAATAGAAAAAAAAAAAATTAAGAATTGCACATTTCATTAAGTTTATTAAAAGAATATATATAACATACTTTAGTAACAATTCTAAAAGACTTTTGTTCATGACTTAATTCTACAGGTTCTTCAAAAACCATAGTTTGTTCAACTAACTCTCTCATCATTTCTTTAAGATTATCCTTTTCATGTACTTTTTTAGAACTTTTAAAATCTTTAGATGTATCTTCCTCTTGTTCCGTCAAACCATCCTTGCTTTTTCCCTTAGATTTTATTTTATCAATTTTTCTTACATCTTCGAATCCAGGAACATTAGGCCATCCATATTTTCTTAAGGTGTCATCCGGAGTAGCAAACCATAAATCTACACTTAATGCTTTATTATTCATTGCAACTGCTCCCCATGTATCAACTATCGTCTTACTGTATGTATTAATTGACTTGTTGGAAGACGGTATAATTAAAATTGCGAGTTGTTTGGGATAATTATCGGTAAAAGTAGAAAATAATGGTGGTGGCCGTGGAGGAGGTGGAGATTGAGAAGAATGACTATTTTAAAATATAAAATCAACAAAAAGAAAAACAATACATCAATTCAGTAAACCTATAAAAAAGTTTGTAAATATAAATTATTTGCCTGTCGTTATAAAGAGTAATATCGTATGACTGTTGGTGATTCAAGACGGCCTACCAGGATTAAAATCAACAACCATCGTGTGATCTCTCAACTAGTATGACGAGTTAGTCAAAGCAAAAAAAATCGAAACTTATTCGACAATCGAATAAATGATACTCACCCTGTTATTGCGGGTGTTTCTTCAAAAGGATCGATACTCCTTCTAAGATGAATACGTACCATCACTATTAAAAATATGAATAAACCGAAACTTAAGTACCCCCATTTCCGCCTTACAAAATATGGAAATAAGGACCTCGATGGTCGATGTCGAAAGTTAGATTGTGTTGAGGTTTTAGGCAATAAGTTGTAATTTACATATGAATTTAAACGTAAGGAAGCAATAGATGCTTGGATACGAAGGAGGAGTGGATTGATAGGTGGGGTTCTTAATTTTTCGTCCATTGTGTGAAGAAGCATAATATTTTCGATAAATGCTTTTATATAAAAGAATTCTGTACAACTCTAAAATGTCGTACAATAATTTTTGTACCTAGTTACCGGACTAATTTCCCACCTCATGCTTTGATTGGATAGTTGCTAATTGGGCGAATTGACGACGCACTCATCACATGCCTGGATGAGTTTGTAAGAGTTACATATTGTCGCAAGGGTTTTTAACCTTTAATTTTAATTTTTCAGTCACTTGAGATTAGGTTATATCGCTTAATTCTATCCAGGGACGTGTAAAAATATCGAATATTCGATAATCATAAATCGATATTTTTTAAGAGAAAATATATTTGGCGCCCAGAGCAATTTTGCCCATATATTTATAAAAAACCACTGTTACGATATGAGAGAGCAAGAATTACACGTAGGCAAATTTAGCCAGCACCATAAACATTAAGGATAAGTGTGGTTCGTTATTTTTGAGCAATGAATTTATTATTGGGAAAGCAATTATATCGACCTTTATTTTTATTAACGAGGTTTCTTACAAAAATGTCACTTTGTTACCCTATCTACTCCCTTCGCTACTCCTTATATACCTTCTTAATATACTATTACTAATATCCTGTATTAGACATACTAATTCTGTCTTAAGAAAAATGAAGTAATAGATACGACATCACAACAACATACACAAGAACTACACAACAATTACATTGTAAGGAAAAAGAAAATTGAAGTAATAGATATGACATCGTAACAACATACATAGAACTACACAACAATTACATCATAAGGGAAAAGAAAGAAATTAAATAGAAGTGAAGTAATATATAATAATCATGAAATAATAATTAAGTAATATGCAGTATAAAGTAATAAAATAAAAATGAAGTAATCTTGTCCTAAGCATTACTACAGTACATCCTAGCATTCTGACATTTTATGTTATTATTTCAAGCTAATGTTATTCATATGACTACTTTTTATCATGACATTTCACTTTCATTCATAAATGAGCTTTGGCAAATCCTAAAAATCAATTCTAAATTTTTTTTTTATTCCAATAAGTATGAAGCAAGGGTCATATCTGTGTGATTCTTTATGAGATTTTATGAATAGTCATAGGCTCTAAATATGCACTAACAAGTTAACAATGTTTCATGAGTATAGATCTAGAACATTATTCTTTTTGCACTTCATAGTTGCTTCTTGAGCATGTAGTAACCTGCAGAAGCTTAGTACTTTTGAATTAGAATTTGTTGTCTTAAGTTTATAGGTTCTATTATTTAATATCTTATATATTCAATATAGACCTATCTATTTTTTTTCTAATTTTTTTCCAAGTTTGGTCTTTAATCTAGCTTTATAATGCAAAACTTTTTTACTAATTTAATAATTTTA